CGTGTGAGGGTTTCCAGGCCGCCCCACCCGTGTGTGAGGGTTTCCAGGCCGCCCCACCCGTGTGTGAGGGTTTCCAGGCTGCCCCACCCACGTGTGAGGGTTTCCAGGCCGCCCCACCCGCGTGTGAGGGTTTCCAGGCCGCCCTACCCGCGTGTGAGGGTTTCCAGGCCGCCCCACTCATGTGTGAGGGTTTCCAGGCCGCCCCACTCGTGTGTGAGGGTTTCCAGGCCGCCCGAGGGCAGGGGCCTCACCTCTGTGCCTTCCACAGCCCGACGACCAGCAGGCCCACCGCCAGCAGCGAGACCAGGCTGCACACCAGGAGGAAGCGGGTCCACCGGGACCAGAGGTGGTCGAGCGGCTGCAGGCAGGAGGCTGCGCCAGAGCGGGGCGCTGGGGGCTCGGCACGGCGCACCCCGACCTGCCCGGCCGAGTTCTGCACAGCTGCCCCCGCCACCCTCCTGCACCCACCAGGCCCTGCAGTCCTTGCAGCCCCGCTGCCCTGTGAGTCTGCCTGTGCTACCCACCCTCTGCCCACCACCCTGTGTGCCACAGTAACACACTGCCACGGAATTTCTCAGCCTCCTGCTCTACGTCACTGTGCTTCTGTCCACCCACCTATGGCCAATCGGCCCACCTGTCGGTCGGTCGGTCTGTCTGTCTATCTAGCACCTCTAATCTATCCATCCATCCACCAGTCACGTGCCTATTCACCTATGTGTTTATCTATGGATCCAAATCTCTCCCTGTCTCTCTGTACATATACCCACCTATATCGTCTGTGCTCATCTTTCTACGAGAGTGCCTCAAAAAAAAGGTACCTCATATCTCAATATCTATCCTATCATTAACCATCCATTTGTCTCTCAATCCAGGTAGTTACTGTGCATCAAACTATGCATCAAGCTATATTTTCATCTAGAGATGTATCTACCTGCCCACCCATTGCCCCGCCCACCCATCGCCCCGCCCACCCATCGCCCCGCCCACCCATCGCCACACCCACACAGCGCTCTGCCCACCCCCAT